AAATTAAAACAAGCCGTAGACCAGGCAAAACAATTGCAAATACATATTTCTAATGAAGAACTTGTATACAAAATATATAAAGAATCCCTAAGGGATAAAGATTTTTTAGGGGATTTTTAGGGCAGCAAAACTATTCTGAATGACACTATAGTGATGACTACATGACATTATGCATCTCACAAAACCCATAGAACTGTACAACACAAAGAGGGAACTCTAATGAAAAAACTGAGTTAATAATAATATACCAATATTGGTTCATAACTGTAGCAAATGTAGACTAATGTAAAATGTGAATAATAGGAAAAACTGTTGGGGGGAGATGGGAGTATGGGAACTATTTGTGCTTTATGCTTTATTTCTTTTTTAACCTAAAACTGCTATAAAAATAAAATCTATTACTTAGAAAAAAATTCCTAAAACTAAAAATAAGAAAAAAAAATTAAATGGCAACAAATTTGAATGGACACAAAAACAAAATAATTTAATAAGTACTTGAAAAGTTGGTCAACCTCACTGGTTGTCAGGGAAATGTAAGTAAACACCATAATGACATATCACTACATATCCATCAGAATAATTAAAATTTGTAACACTGACAGTATCAAGTGTCAGGGAGAAAATGTAGCAACTAGAACACTGCTGGTAGGACTTTCAAATGGTAAAATCACTTTGAAAAATAATTTGGCAGTTTCTTATAAAGTTAAACATATACTTATCATATAATTGTTCTTACACCTCTAGGTATTTACACAAGAGAAAATCTGTGTCCACAAAGAAGACTGGAACAAGTATGTTCATAGCACATTTACCCATATTAGCTAAAAACTAGAAACAAGTCAAATATTCATCAATAATTGAAAAATTGTGATACATCTATTCAGTAGAAGACGACTCTGCAATAAACAGGAACTAATACATGCAACAACATGGATGAATCTCAAGAACATAAGAAAAAAGTAATACACAAAAGAATCCCTCTTTATTATAACTTTTAAAAATTGACTTTTTAAAATGGAACTGAAATTTGCTTGTCAAAATATTAACACTTACATATCTTGATAGGCTTACATAGGTTTCCATTGCTTCTCTTCAGTCTAAATAGCCACAAGAATGATACTGTATGACAAATTATGTCAGTTCTGTGCTTAAAATCTCCAATTTCATTCAGAATAAGAACCAAAATTCTCACAATGGCCTACGTTCCTACAAAATCTGATCCTCCAGTTACCTTTTGACATCATCTGCTAATCACTAGCCTCCTTGATGTTCCCAAAACATGTCCCGTCTCCCCTGTAACACCGTTTTATGAATTGCAGCTTCTGCCCACTGCTCCCTCTCTCACTGCCCTGCCAAGTTGTTTTCATTCTGTTTATCACCAACAAATGCAAATATATTGTATTAATTTACTTTATTCATTATCTTTATCCTCCTACTAGAACACAAGCTCCATGAGGACAGTGTTTTGTTCACTTCTGTATTTTCAGTGCCTTGGGTATAAAACAGGCTCTCGAGAAATGACTGGTTAGTGGATAGCTTTTTACACTGTACTGTATATTTGATAGAAAACACAGATGCCAGAGAGCATATGTAATTACAATGTACTTGTTTCACATGAATGCTGTTCCTGCATCCTACTCACAATCAATTCTTACTCCAAATTAAAATTCAAATCTTAAAGCTTCATTTCCCACTAATAAAATTAGAAAAGAGATTCAGATTTGTATGAATCCAATTCATCCTTCTCACTGCCTTCACTAAAACTTCTCTCAGATTCTCTGCGCATTTGATATGTCTGAATCAACAGTCTCCATACATGTTAACATGATTCAACCATAAAGATGTTAGGTCAAGCACATCCTTGCTCCTTTCATTTATTTGGTCCTATTTCTTTCCTTATATCTGCTGCTGCTCACTCAAGTCAGATCCTGGTGACTGAGACAGAAGAGGATGGAGGCAAAATTTCAGTCTGCTTCTCCAGCACCAGGTACTTGGTCCCAGAAAAGGCAACACCAAGCATTACCCATTTCAACATGCATGACCTGTCTCATGCTGTTCTTATCTTTGTAAACTAGATTAATGTACTAAAACAAAATGAAAACACAAGTAAATCTAAATTCATCATCATTCTGGAAACAGTGAAAGTGGGTTTTCCATAATGTCAAACCATTCAACGAATTGAGTTAATCTAAAATAAGTACTGTATTTGTGTGCACAGTTTTACTGACTTATACCAACCTAGCTGTCTCCAAACTGAGAGATTTTGTATAAGTAGTATGTTAGAAAACAGAAAAAATGTGCATTCCCCAAACATCATCTAACTTATGATTCTGTTGCAGCAATTCGTGGGCTATAATCATCCTGTGTTTAATTAAAAATTGAACTGGTAGCAAACAATGTAAGGTCTGTTTTTTGGCACTCTAGCTAAAACTTATATGTATATGGTGTCCTTTGAGCATTGCAAGCTGTAAAAACTGGATTCTTGAAGTCTCTCGGGCACAGCATTTGCCAAGTTTTAACAAGGTTCTGATTGAACCGTGGTTAAGGGCATAGATTTCTTCTATTGCCTCTAAAGAATTTGGACACCAACCAAAATCTGTCCATATGTGTGTTCGTGCACACATGTGCAGATGTTCATGTCTTGGCAACATTTTAATAACTCCCATTGAAACTGTCTCACCAAAATTGGAATTAGCCACTTGACTTTCACTTTATTGCCCAATATTATTACCTTTGCAATTATTACATTAAGTTGGAGGCTGAGGGATTTGGATGTAAGACAGGACACAGTGAAAGAACCTTAAAGATGTAATTCCTCAAGTCTGACTTTCCTCTTCTACAAATGGAGCAAAGACACTAAAATAGTTAATCCTCCAAAGGAGTTTAGCTTCAGAAACAGAATTTTTAAGAATTAATGTCAACTGTTGTTATGCCCTGTACCTAACAGCAAGCAATTTTTACTTGGAGTTTCAGTATCAAAGAAAGTAGGTAAAGACATTAAACTGCTATCTAAGGTTAAGGTTATTCATAGTAAAATTGAGATGTTGTTATTGATTATGTGTAACTAATTTGACTTTGAGTATTTTCCAAGTATGTTAAATGCTTCAGAGACAAGATGATCATCTCAGTAAAAGAAACAACAAAGGTGGGTGTTAAATTCTAGGGAGAGGGATGTTGTATTGACAGGGATGCAGAAATGTGGTCCATTTGGTGTGAGAGAGGGCATTATACATGTGCTGTGACCCTTTGATTTGCTTATTGGTGAGTGTGGCTTATACTAAAGTCAATGTGAAAAGCGTTTTCAGAGCCTCTATCTGCCAGATGTTTATCTTCAGAAAGGCTTTTTCAAATGCTATTGCAGTACAAAATTTGAACTTACATAGATTGAATAGGAAGGAAAAAATAAGATGAACACTATATCTCCCATCCTGTTTCCATCTATTCCATATGATATATTCTTCCTTGCACCCAACACAGATTCATGCTATATTGCATATAAAAAACAATTAACAATAGTGCTTACTAGGAGGTGGTGGCAAGAATTAAATAAATCAACTCTTTCCACTTTACACATACAAAAAACTTTAAAAAGTAGTTTTATTGCTGCCATAAAAGATCATATCTCCTATCCTATTTCCTTTGCCACCCAAATCTAAAAACAGAAATAATTCTAATCAATTGAACACAAACAATGATTGTATGTGGTAGCATGTGAAAGATAGGCTTTGGAGGTAAACAGAATCACATGTGAAGTTCAGTTCCACCACTTACTACTGTTGTGAGTTTGGGAAATTGAGTTCACCATTCTCAACACTGTCTCTACAACTGTATGGAAAATATAAAACCCCTTCTTCACAAGAATACATAAGAGAACCATTCACAAGACATGTTATGTCTTGAGCTATGAAGACTGCAGGGGACATCACGACTCCACAACTAGTTTTTCCCAACCACATACAAATGGATCTACTGATGGTGGAGACATGGAAGGGGGAAAGAGAAACAGACAGAAGGGGAAAAAATGTGATCACCAGTTGGTTCCTGCCTTTTGTCAGAGCCTGAAATAGGGCACCTGCCTTCAAACGCAGGGATCTGCACCCTCATTCAGTCTTACAGCCTCTCAAGTGAATCTCCCTACTGGCTCAGATTCCACCTCCTCCCTACTGACTCAAACTGATATTATGCACAGTATCCATCCTACACAGTTCATAGTTAAGGAGTCAGAACCACCATCATTCAGCTATTAGATGGCAGAATAAGAAAAAGATAGAACACGTGCTTCAATCTTCCAATACAGAGCTCTCTGCACTACATCCCATTGTCTCTAGCAGAAGAGAGGTTCTTCCTTTTGGAAAAAAAATAAATCACCTTTCAGGTTTCCAGAACCTCCATAGCTTCTTATAACGTGCTTCTGCAAAGTGTAGAAAAATAACAGATGATGGTGATAATGATAATAATAATAATAATAATAATAATAATAATAATAATAATAATAATAATAATAATAATAATAATAAACCAGCAGCAGTAAAAACAAAAATAAGAACCTGCAGATAATCCTTTCTCTTTCTGCTTTTAGGGAAGCCAGAATCTTTTGACCCCCAAAGCAGCATAAGTGACAAAAAGAGATGAAAAGTGTTTCTTAAAGCAGAATAAACAGAAAAAGATTTATTACATTGAAGTTTTATTCCAAAGGTACCAAACTGAACTTTGGTAGTAGTATCTTTTTAAAATATGCTAATGTCACTACTTAACATATTTTCTTTTCCAAAACAGTTCTATAGGAAAAGAATTATTGAATGACACTGCATATGATAAATTTTCTCACCAAATTGACTGCAATCATAAAAAAGTGGATACACAACTCAACAAATTGCAGACTCTACAGCCACATGGGGAAGGTTCTGATTTCCATTCTTAGTGCTTAAGAAGACAATAAAATAAATAGTTCAGTGCTTTCGTATAACACTGCTTGGTGGGGGGTGGGGGAGGAGGAAAAAAGAGGATGATTCAATGGAGTTGAAAAACTATACCAAGGTAGAAGAATTTATTTTCCTTGGACTAACCCAGAATCGAGAAGTCAGCTTGGTCTTGTTTCTTTTCCTACTTTTTGTGTACATGACAGCCCTGCTGGGAAACCTCCTCATCATGGTCACCGTGACCTGGGAATCTCGCCTTCACACACCCATGTATTTTTTGCTCCGGAATTTATCTATTGCCGATATCTGCTTTTCCTCCATCACAGCTCCCAAGGTTCTGGTGGACCTTCTGTCCGAGACAAAGACCATCTCCTTCAATGGCTGCTTCACTCAGATGTTTTTCTTCCACCTTATTGGAGGGGTGGATGTCTTTTCTTTGTCAGTGATGGCTTTAGATCGATATGTGGCCATCTCCAAGCCTCTGCACTACGTGAACATCATGAGCAGAGACCGTTGCATTGGGTTAACAGTGGCTGCCTGGGTGGGGGGCTTTGTCCACTCCATCGTGCAGATTTCCCTACTGCTCCCTCTCCCCTTCTGTGGACCTAATGTCCTTGACACTTTCTACTGTGATGTCCCCCAGGTCCTCAGACTCGCCTGCACTGACATTTTTGTACTTGAACTGTTGATGATTTCCAATAATGGGCTGCTCACCACTCTGTGGTTTTTCCTGCTCCTTGTGTCTTATTTGGTCATATTATTATTACTAAGGTCTCAGGCAGGGGAGGGTAGGAGGAAAGCCATCTCCACCTGCACCTCCCACATCACTGTGGTGACCCTGCATTTTGTGCCCTGCATCTATGTCTATGCCCGGCCCTTCACTGCCCTCCCCACAGATAAGGCCATCTCTGTGACTTTCACTGTCATCTCCCCTCTGCTGAATCCCTTGATCTACACTCTGAGGAATCATGAGATGAAGGCAGCCATGAGAAGACTCAGGAGAAGACTCCTGCTGTTGGAAAGGAAATAGAAAAAAATTCCCCAACTCTTCAAAACCAAGGACACATTTTATTATTTTTCCAATGGATTCATAGTCATATACTCAAGTATACTGTCAATAAGCCAACTGTACTTATTATGTTTCTTTTTAAGTTAACAGGTTATGGATAGTTCAAAAATGTCTGGTCAGGAAAAGACTCAGAACTTCTGAATGGAAATAAACCAGTGTCTCCCTCTTCTTCACCACCAAGGTTTCATTTTTGGAGTTTTCTACCATGGACTCCAGGTTTTGGAAATGTTGCCTATCAAATATATTTATCTCATTATTTCTAAGCATTTTCTTTATTTTTACTAGTAATGTATATATTATTATAACATAATATCATATGTATACTATAATATTATATATTGGGTATATATACCCAGTAAAGCTTCTTATTAGCATTTAGTTGGCAGAAATATCAATTACTTAAATGGAGTCCTCATGGTCCAGAAAAGAGAGGAAAAATTGTTAGCAAATATGTACATGATTTTGCAGTCCAATTTTTAAAGGAAAATTAATCTAAGTGTATTCAGACATCATCATTATCTTTCTACTTTTATAAAAGGAAAGGAAAGTGACAATATATCCAAAACATAACAGAGTTTGGGGATTGGTTTTCTATACGATTTTCATAAGGTAAACGTACCCTAAATTATAGTTATGATGGACAAGGTCATTAATTATTTTACCTTTACTTGAACCCAGGCTCACTGGCCACCACAGCCACATTCCCTCAGAACTCTGGGTTTAGTTCTAGTACTGCATTTAGCATTCTGTTTTGAAATTTCCTATTGTCTTGTCTCTCGCTCACTGGTCTGTGAGGTGTTCAAGGGCAGGGATTATGTTTTATTTACTGGTATAGCAGTTGAAACATACTAAGACTTCTGCAAAAAGTTGTTGAATAAATAGCTAAAAGATTGAATGTTGTCTCTTATTTGAAGCACTGTAGTCAGTGAGATTCTATAAATAATAAAAATCCATGAAGCTACTTTATGCCATGTACATACATGTGTAAAGCTTTGCATAAAATAGAAAAGTGTTATTCACACAATTCTGCAATCATGTCTTTAGTCATTTAGTTCATATTTTTTCACAGATACCAGGGGTTCTTCTTGCTATGTATGAAAGAAACAATATTTTTTATTTTTTTACAACTCAGTTTTTATTTCAAGCTCTTATTAATTTGTGGTGGGTGGAAATTTAACCTCTTAGTCCAGAGTTCCCTTAATGGTTTCTTAGTTCCAGGAAAAGAGAATGGTAAATAGGGACAAAAGGAAATACATATTATGTAAAGGTGGAGTCTTTTATGGGTCTATAATGGTAACTATGTAATAGTAAAACATAAGCAATTCATTAACGTGCTACCCTATATATTCATTCCAATCACTTTATTTGTAATATGAACCTTACAAAAGTACTCAGCTTTTCACAAGAGAGACACGGGAAAACTGCAAATTCAATTACTGAAGTAATTCAGAAGACTGCACAATTAGATTATGTGTCTTACCTCAATGAGGTCAGCCTGTAACAACAAGAAATAAGTGAGTAGCTTAAGATTTTTATAGAATCTCTCTGGTTCTCAGACTTTACCTCCAGCTGAGCAATATAAACCCAAAGCTTATCATTTCTTTAATGTAAATTATTCAATGTAGTTAGAAGTAGCCACCCCACCTTCAAGCTCCTGTAGTATTCGTAAGGTCAAGTACAGTAGCCACTTTGCAAACAAAAAGAAATCACTTTGTAATCACAATGTCACTTGCTTGGATCACAAAGAAAATTATTACAATCAGTAATGTGATAATTTGATTACAACTAATGCCTGCGTATTCCCAGAATCATAAGCCAAATAAACCTCTGTTCTTTATAAATCACCCAGTCCAGGTATTTCTGTTATAGCAACACAAATGGACTTATACAGAAAACTGGTACCAAAGAGTGGGGTGTTGCTATACAGATACCTGAAAATGTGGATGCAACTTTGGAACTGGGTAATGGACAAAGGCTGGAGGAGTTTGGAGGACTTAGAAGAAGACAAAAAGATGAGGGAAAGTTTGAAACATTTTAGAGATTGTTTAAATGGTTGTGACCAGAGTGTTGATAGAAACATGGACAGTAAAGACCACGTGGATGATGAGGTCTCAGATAGAAATGAGGAACTTATTGGGAATTGGACAAAAGATAACTGTTACTACACCATAGCAAGGAATTTGGCTGCATGGTGTCCATGCCCTTAAACTTTGTGGAAGGAGGGACTTAAAATCTGTGAACCAGAATGTTTAGCAGAAGAAATTTCCAAGAAGCAAAGCATTAAGGAAGCTGCATGGTTACTTTTAACAGCCTATTCTGAGTTATGGCAGCAAAGGCATGATGTAAAGCCAGAATTTAAAAGGGAAGCAGAGTGTAAAGATTTGGAAAATTTGCAGCCTGGCCATGTGGTAGAGAAGCAGAGAGTTGGAGAAAATGCAAGAGTGAAGCAGATAAACTGGTTACTAAAGACATTAGCTTGGCAGTGAGGCAGCCAGATGCTAATAACCAGGACAATGGGGAAAAAGCCCTAAAGTCATTTCAGAAGACTGGAAGGGTGCCCCTACCATAAAAGACCGTGAGGCCTAGAAGGATTGAGTTGTCCCAGAGGACAGACCTGGGGCACAGCTGCCCTCAGGAACCTGCTCCTTGCATCCCAGCTGATCTGGCTGGAGCAGCCCTGCCTCAACCAGCCCCAAGTGTGGTTCATGCAGCAACTCTGGAGAGTAGAAGCCTGAAACCTTGGTGGCATCCACATTGTGTTAAGTCTGCAGGCCAGTAGGACATGAGAGCAGTGGAGGAATGGCAACCTTCACTCAGATTTCAGAAGATGTATGGAAAAGCTTGGGGGTCCAGGCAGAGACCTGCCACAGGGTTGGAGCTACCACAGAGGCCATCTACTACAGCAATGCCAAGCAGAAAAGTGAAGTCAGAGCCCCCACCAGGGAAATTTCTAGTACAGCCAAGGCAGCAGGGCTACTGCCAGGACCCCAGAACAGTAAGGCCTCTGGCAACGTGCAACACTGGCCTGGAAAAGCTACAGGCACCAGCATTGCACCTAGCAGAGCTGTGGGAGTGAGGCTGCCCAAGGATTTGGGGGCCCAGATGCCCAATTGTGCCCAGGATGCAGGACTTAGAATCAAAGAAGATTATTTTGGAGCTTTAAGACATAATGTCTGCCCTGCTGGGTTTTGGACTTGTTTAGGGCCTGTTTTTCCTTTCTTCTGGCCTATTTTTGCCTTTTGGAATAGGAATGTGTACCCAATGTCTATTCCACCATTGTATCTTGGCAGTAGATAATTTGTTTTTGATTTTTACAGTTTCACAGCTGGAAGGACTTTTGCTTTTTGTCTCAGATGAGACTTTGGACTTTGGACTTTTAAGTTGTTGTGGAACAAGCTAAGACCTTTGGGACTGTTGGGATAGAATGACTGTATTTTGTATGTGAGAGGGACATGAGTTTTGGGGGGCCAGAGGCAAAATGATAGAGTTAGGATGTGTTGCCCCCACTAAAACTCATGTGGAAATCTGATCCCCAGTATGGCAGTGTTGGGAGCTGATTGAGTCATGTGGACAGATCCCTCATGAATGGATTAATGCTTTCCCTAGGTGGGGGGATTAATGAGTGAGTTCTCAATCCATTAGTTCCCATGAGAGCTGGTTGTCTAAAAGACCCTGGCACCTCCTCTCTCTCTCTCTCTCTCTCTCTTGCTTCCTCTTGCTATGTGATCTGCTTGTACCCACTGGCTGCCTGCCGCTTTCCACCATGAGCAGAAGCAGCCTGATGCTGCTGTCCCAGAAACATAAACCAAATAAACCTCTGTTCTTTATAAATTACTCAGTCTCAGGTCTTTCAGTTATAGCAACACAGATGGACTAATACAACCTGTGTGCAATATGTGGTGCTCAAATCAGGATAATTACTATATTCAACAATATACAATGTCATCATTTTTTGTTGCCTATTACCAATTCCTTTCTTCGCCCCTTCCCCTTTTCCCACCTCTGGTAACCTTAGTTCTCCTTTTGAGAGTTCAACATATTATTGTGATTGTTGTGTCTTTCTTTATTTTTTTTAATTTTATTTTATTTTATCAATATACAATGTGGTTGATTTTTGTGGCCCATTACCAAAACCTCCCTCCCCTCACCTTCTCCCCCCACATCAACCTCATATCTGTTTGCTTGTCTTAACCTCTTCAAGGAATTACAATTGTTGTTAGTTAAATGTAAAAGTAAAATGTATGACAAAAAACAAAAATGGGAAAATAAGTATTTTTGTAAGGTTCATATTACACATGAAGTGATATAATATGATATATACAAAGGCCATCTGGTGTGAATCAAAGATGCATATGTAAAGATGCATATTTGTAAACTAAAGATGCATTTAGTAACCCTAAAGAATAAAATTAAAACATAAAGTTTATAAGCCAATACATGAGATAAAATGGAACACTAAACAATATTGAATTACTCCAAAAGAAGGAAGGAAAAGAAGAAAAAGTATTCAAGAATAGATGGAGACATTTTTTTAAAGATAGCAAATTGGTAGAAGTAAACATAACCACATTAGAAATTATGTTACAGACTTCTCACTGTCATAATGGGAGTTTACACACAGCAAGGTAAGAAAGCAAAAATTACCTATGGGTAATGGATTAGAGTTGGAGACATCAGTATGAAATCATTTAGCTTAATATAAAGACAGATGGTTATGTGTGCTAATATTTATAGATATGTGTATATGCATGAGTTAGTATGTATTTACATTTACTATATATACATAGTCTTTCCTTGTTCTGTTGGTGGAGTTGAGAAAGTCTAGAAGCAATGTTATTCCAGTGGCAGCAACCACATCTCATGCCCAGATATTGATTATCTAATATCATTCTCCAATAAAAAGAAAGAGGGCTCCTTAGAGATGTGGAGGATTGTAGGGTTAGCAGAGAGGATATTCAACATAAGCCTGCAGCATCTACAGGCT